GAATAGCAGCATTTTCAAATCCATCAGGTTGCTGCATGTAGACTACTTCATTCAAAGTGCCATTAAGAAATGCATTGTTCACATCCACTTGTTGGATATCCCAACCATTAGTTACTGCAAGGGTGAGAATGATCCTAATGGTGGAAGGTTTAACTACAGGACTAAATGTTTCAAAGTAGTCCAACCGGGGTGTTTGTTGAAACCTTTTAGCAACCAATCTAGCTTTGTATTTTTGTAAAGAACCATCAGCATGAAACTTGGTCCTAAACACCTATTTATTCCCAACTACATGCATGTCATTAGTTCTTGGTACCAAAATCCAGGTGTTGTTTTTCATTAGTGCATCAAATTCCATTTGCATAGCTTCTTTCCATTTAGCAGTAGCTAATGCCTCTTTCACAGAACAAGGTTCAGGGAGGACGGGGGTGTTACCAGATAAAATAAGTGTAGTTTTTCCTGAATGGTTAAGGGTCATGGAAGAATTGGTTTTGGACCTTGTTAACATGGGATGTGTGTTTGTATTTGGAGGCTGATCAGTTGATGTAGTGAGAAACTGTGAGGGTGCCAAGTCACCTACAAGTGGGCAGTGAGTAAGATCTTGATTAGAGGATGATTAAGAAGTGACAAGAGAATGAAGAGGTGGATAAGAGGTCAGATCTATTACAAGTGTATGGTTTGAGAGTTTGGAATCAGTTTGCTTATAGGGAGAAGGTATTAGTTCAAGAGAGGAATTTTGAGGATTGGACACTGGTTTAGATGAATCAGGTGCTGTGTTTAAAGAATTTGGAGAGGAATCAGTAGGTAAATTGCAGTTATTTGCAGGAGCAAGATCAGACTTATAGGATGATAATGATGAGGTAGAATTTGATACTCCAACTGTTGAATGAGGACTAACTTGAGAGCTCAGTTCTGCTGGAAAGACTTTTTTGCTGGACACATCAGGTGGTTGAACTCTGGAATAACGAAAATGAGTGTTTGACTCTTTGAAATATGATTCTCTAGGGGCTGAAGTATTAGGCTGACCAAATCTAGATTTAAAAGGAAACTCTATTTCATGAAATTTAACATTAGGAGTAATGTAAATTTTTCCTTCGGCACTTAGACACTTATAACCTTTGTGAATTAGGTTTTATCCTACAAACACACACTTTGAAGAGTGAAAGCTAAGTTTATGTTGATTATAATCTCTCAAATAAGGGAAACATGCTGACCCAAAAACCTTTAAAGAATTGTACAGGGGTGGTCTACCAAACAGCACCTGATATGGTGAAATAAAATCCAAAACAGCAATAGGCATTCTATTTATTAGAAAAGCAGCATTGTCAAATGCAAACCACCAGAGATGCATAGGCATGGATGCATGTGCTAACAAAGTTAAACCTGTCTCTACTAAGTGTCTATGCTTCCTTTCACTTCGTCCATTTTGTTGATGCACATGAGCACACGAATACCTGAACTGGATTCCTGATTTTGTTAAGTAAGGCACTAAACCTTTATACTCACCCTTTATACTCAACCCCTTGATCATATTGTAAACAATGGATTTTATGTTGAAACTGTCTTTCAGCTAAGTGATGTAATTTGATAAAGACAGATTGCACTTCAGCCTTGGTTTTTAAGGGAAATAACCATGTAAATTGACTATAATCGTCTAGGAAATGGATATAGTATTTGAACCCTGCTAAAGATGCAATTGGAGCTGGACCCCATATATCACTATGAATCAATTCTAATGGTTTAGTGGCCCTAGAGTCAGAGATAGGAAAATGGTTTCTATGTGCTTTGCCAAGTTGGCAGGCATCACAAAAAGATAAGGCTGGAATGTTTTGTGATGAATTTGAGTGCACTTGATGCATGATTTTATTAAAAACTATTGAGTGTGGATGACCTAGACGATTGTGCCAAAGTGAGGAAGCAGTTTCTTTGTTGCTAACAGCTTGTAATGCTAGAGATGGATAGCCAGTGATGCTGGATTTACAGTTAGGAATATTAAAAACAGATGCACCTATATCAGACTATAGATTTCTGTGTATTTCAACATGATTTGTATTTGATGAAGTTGCAATGTCAGATACATGAGAACCATAATCAGAGATAGTATGTAAGGGAATATTAACAGTACATGTTGATGCATTAGACATATCATAATTAAGACTAGCAACAGCAGTATAATTAGTAAAACAATTATCATGAGCAGTATTTGATGATACATTAATAGCAGACATGTCAGAAATACTAGTACAATGTGTCAAATCAGAACCATCTTTATTGAAGGCAACAGAATTACAATTATTCAAAACAGATTCACTAGTTATTTCATTACTGCTATTTTTGGTGCTGCCATCCTTAAGACAGTATGTGGATTTATTCTTAAGACTAGACACAGGATTATTGCAAGATACAAGACTGGAGGTTTTAACACAGCTTCCTATAGGCTCATTATCAATAACAGCAGACTTATTCTGAACAACAGACTCGGGTTCAGTAGAAGTTACTTTGGTAGGTTCAATCGATGAGACAAAACTCTGACATTTAAGAGGTGCAATAGACTGATCAAAGGAAGGTAAAGACTGAGAGAAGGAAGTCTCAACTAATACAGTCCAGCATTAAGTTCTCCCTGCAGTAACACTGCCCTAGAAAGTTTGTCCTTAACAATGCAACAATCAGAGTTAAATTCTACTACAACATTATTATCCTTAGTGAATTAGATATACTGAGCAGATTTTTAGTGATTCTAGGTATGCACAAAACATTTTTTAAGTGTAAACATTTAGATTGTAAAGAGCTAGGTAAGGAAGTAAAACCAATATGTGAGATATCAAGGAATTCACCACTGCCTACTTGTAGCTGATCAGCTCCACCATAGTTTCTGCTAACAGTCAACTGATTGAGGTCAAAAGTGACATGATCCGTAGCCTCGAAGTCCATATACTAGGCAAGATCTTGAGCAGTTGTGTAGGAATTTGATGCAACAGGTGTATGTGATGATAGCTGTGAGTTAAATGGTGAAGGTTGTTGAGAGGCAAAGTAGGCTTGAGTTGGTGTTGTGATTTGTTGGCTTGGAACTGTGAGGCTTTGTGGTGGTGAGGTAAAGTGTTGTTGTTGATGGTTAAGACCACTATAGTTGCCATGTGGTTGTGTTGTATTGAAAAAGACAAAGCCAGGTTGTAACGGCTGTGGAAATTGCTGTGAAGGGATCTGTATTGTTTGATTGTTTGGACTGGTAAAAGATCCATTAAGTTGCTCACTGGAGTTGAAAGATCTATTCCCAATTGAGTGATTGGTAGAACTGAACTGTGGAGATGCACCATTTACAACACCTATGGAATGATTATTTGAGTTGTACTGAGGAGAGGCACCATTGTAATTGGAATTGTACCGATGATAACACTGCACAGCAGTGTGTCCAATTTTACTGCATAGTTGACAAATCGGTCTGCCTCTACCATTTCCTCTACCTCTTCCTCGTCCTCGTCCAGAACTTATAAATCCAGTAGGTTGATAAGAGACGGTTGAAGCACCATAAGGATTAGAAGATGCTGGTTGAAAAAATTGGCCATAATGGACAGAGGGAACTGGAGCACGTAAAGGACAATGTTGAGCAAAAGATGGACTGGATAAAGTGTTTAGGGACGGATGAAATTGAGATGAGGAACTTGAAGTGTTTACAGGATCATTTGAAGAATTATTGGTGTTGATAAAGGTTGGCTTAAGACCAGCATTACTCACAGCAGCAACGTGGACAAAACTAGCAGAAAAATCAACAGAATTAAACTTTTCTAACCTCAGTTCATACTTCTATAACAAGAACTGTGCTTCTTGAAGTGTCACTATATCAAACTTGGATTCAAGGCGTGAAGTCAAGTTAACCACCGCTGCGTCAAATTCAAGTCCCAAACCGTCTAACACATACTGGAGTACTTCTTCGTCAGTTATAACTGGACCACTAGCAGATAAACTTTCTGCTATATTTTTCATCTTCTTAACATACTCACTAATGCTTAAATTGCCTTTTTGTGTGGTTTGTAATAGGTTTTTCAAATGTAGAGCTCTAGCTTTAGAATCATTTAGGAATTCTCACTCAAGAGCAAACCAAATCTCATATGAGAGTTGACATTTTGATATACAACTGAACATGCATTCAGAGATTGAAGCAAGTAACCAAGTAACTAAAAACTTGTCAGTTCGTTTCCAAGCAATATACGCAGGATTGACTTTGCTTTTGGTTAGGTTGTTTTTTGACAGAGCACTTTCTATTTCAGAGCAATTTTCACTTTTTGATGAAATTAAAGGTTGAGGACACGGAATTAAACCTGTGAGGTGTTCTTCCAACTCATGAGCTCCAACAGTAGAAAGAGCTTGCAACCTCCAAAATCGATGGTTATTTCGATAGTTATCTCGCATCAACTTTGGATTAATCACTTGTAAGCTTGAAAAGAAGATTGAGGAGTGCGAATCAGTGGAATTTTGGAGCTTATTCATGTTATTTGCAGAGAGATTAACACCAAAAAAATCAGCCACTGACGTGAGTCTATGGCTCTGATACCACTTGTTGGAGTTGGGCCTAACTCCTCACCCAAAAGGCCTTATTGAGTGGGAGGATTGCACACTCTTATAAACCCATTGGCTTGAGTGTGCTTAGTCGATGTGGGATCTCCAACACTCCCCCTCACGGTCAAGCCCATATGGTCCACTTGCCTATGAATGAAGGTAGTTTGGCAGCCCACCGCTGGTCAATCACTCAGCTCACAGGGGGCTGGCTCTAATACCATGTGAAACTTGAAAGAAAAGAAAGATAAACTTGATTCTAGCTGAATGATACTTTGTATTAATCAACTTGATACAATACTTGATGCTTTTATACTTGAACAAAACAGGTGAAGAAAGTGTGAAAAGGTTAAGAAAAGAGTAAAGAGTAAAGTTGCAGTAGCTGTCAAAACACGTTTGAGAAGAAGACTTTTACACATAAAGTAAAATGAGATCGTTTGTAAAACTTCTAGTTAGGTCCTATCATTTTGTGAACTTGCAGTTAGCACCATGAATCTTTGATCAACACTTCCCCTCAAGCTAAGCTGCTTCTCTTTTCCATTATCTTTAACAGACACACACTACATTAGAGAACGGGTCTTAGCCAACAAAATTGTTGTGCAATATGTCCCCTCAAAGCTACAAATTGCTGACATTTTAACAAAGGCTCTTCCTGCTGCTCAATTTGCAGAATTGAAGGCAAAACTAAATGTTGTTTCTTATCTTTGTAACTAATGTATCTTGCTATTATGATCAGTTGAAAGTTATGAGCATAAGCAGGGTGATCAGTGTTCAATTGAAGACTTAAAGAGCGCTTGTGATTACAAGAGCAGCAATGATGAACAACAATAAAAGAATTAAGAGTAGTCCCGTAAAACAAAGGAAGTAATTATAAAGTAGTCACGTAGCTTGAGGAAGTGAACTACAGAGTAGTCCTGTACAATGGATTTTTTTTTTATACAAGCTTAAACTGCAGAGCAGTCCAGCTAGTTCAGTGAATAAACTCTGCAACCATGCTACCTTTGTGGTTGTTTGAGCCAATGCTCTATACTCAACTTCAGTGGAAGAAAGGGCTACAACTCGCTGCTTTCTTGAGCTCCACTGAACTAAATTAGGCCCCATGTATACACAACAGCCACTAGTAGAGCGTCGATCCTCCAAATTACTTCCCCAATCTGCATCGGCGTAACATTCCACATTGAGAGAGCGAGTGGGCTGAAAGTGTAAACCATAATCTAGTGTTCCTTTGACATACCAAAGAATTCTCTTGCATGCTTGCCATTGAAGAGTTGTAGGAGCTGATAGGAACTGACTAAGCTTATTAACGGGAAAGCTAAGATCATGTCTTGTAAGTGTAAGGTATTGAAGTGCCCCTATAGTGCTTCGGTACAAACTTGGTTGCTTGAATAGGTCACTATCACCTGAGAATAACCATGTACCAACGGCCATAAGAGTGGAGCAAGGATGAGCTTCATTCATACGGGTTTTGAGTAATAGATCAGCTGCATATTTGGTTTGTTTCAGGTGGATACCACTGCAGTTTCGTGTAGCTTCCAGCCAAGAAAATAGTGCAATGAACCAAGAGTTTTGAGTGAGAACTGATCATTTAAATCCTTCATAAGCTAAGTAATGTAATTTGAGCTGGATCCTGTCAAAAGAATGTCATCTACATAGACTAACACATAGGTTAGTAAAGAATTTTGCTTAAAAATGAATAGGCTTGAATCAGAGATAGAATTAACAAAACCCTTGCTGAGGAGGGCAGCCTTTAACTGATCAAACCAAGCCCTTAGAGCTTGTTTAAGCCATAAAGAGCTTTATTCAACTTGCACACATATGTAGGATTGTGACGATCCTCAAAACCAGGATGTTGTTTCATGTATACCTCTTCATTTAAAGTATCATTTAAAAATGCGTTGTTGACATCAATTTGCTGAACATCCCAGCCATGTGTAACAGCCAAGGTAAGAATGATTCTGATAGTGGATGGTTTAACAACTGCACTAAAAGTTTCAAAGTAGTCAAGTCCAGGGGTTTGTTGAAAACCCTTTGCAACAAACCTAGTCTTGTATTTTTGCAAAGAACCATCTGCATTATACTTGGTTCTAAATACCCATTTGTTCCCTACTACATTCACATTGGAGGAAAGAGGAACCAGTGTCCAGGTCTGATTTTTTAGCAGAGCAGTAAATTCATATTGCATTGCCTCTTTCCACTTAGGATTAGCCAAAGCTTCAACAACAGAATTGGGTTCTGGCTCAATAACATGCTGTTCCGATAGAAAAACAGTGGAGGGATTTGCTACAGCATTAGCAAAGGAAGACATGGATGCTGCTTTGGCTTGGGTCAACATAGGGTGAAGGTTAAGGGAATTCAATTGTGTAGGATGTGTGGAAGGTGGTTGTGTAGAGTGTATGGGTTGAAGAGTATTAGAGAACTGTGATAGTGTAAGATCAACTTCAAGTAGAATGGATGGCAGGCTAGGATCAGGTGGTATAACAGGAAGGGATGATATCTTAGTTGAATAGTGATCAGGTGAGTATTGTGAAGAAGAAGCAGGTTGTGGAATATGAGTATGTGAGGAATAATGTTCACTATTTAATGAAGTACTACGAGATATCATGAGGTGCAACAGGTATTGAGGGAGAAATATGCAATTGTGAGTTTGAAGGAAAAGAGGAAGAAATACCTAGTGCTGAAGTGCCATTTTCAGACAGTTTTGATGAGCTTGTTACTGCAGAGGGAAGAGGGGCCTGTTCGGTTGAAGAAGAAGGACTTTGTGTAGTGATGACAGGAAATGGAAGAGATTGAATTTGACCAGAGGAAATATTTGATTCAGATGACAGCTCAGGAGAGGAAGAAGAAGAAACATGGCCATGAGAAAAAGGAAATTTTGACTCATTAAACTTGACACACGGAGTGACAACAATTTTTCCATCTGGTTTCAAACATTTATATCCCTTATGAATTTGACTATAGCCAACAAACACACTTGGTAGAATGAAAGTCAAATTTATGCTTATTAAAAGGACTAAGAAATGGAAAGCAAGAACATCCAAAAACTTTCAATGACTTATAAACAGGTGGGGATTGAAATAATTTTTGGTAAGGAGACAAGTAAGCCAAAGTAGTTGTGGGCATCCTATTTATGAGAAATACTCCAATTTCGAAAGCTAACCACCAAAATTGTAAAGGCATGGATGCATGAGCAAGAAGGGTTAGACTAGTTTCGACAATATGTATGTGCTTGCGCTCACATCTACCATTTTGTTGATATATATGTGAGCAAGAATGTCTAAATCTAATTCCTAAATCAGTGAGATAAGAATGTAGTGTAATGTATTCTCCTCCTTAGTCTGACTGGAGACACTTGACTTTGTGACCAAATTGCTTTTCAGCAAGTTTATGAAATTTAATAAAGACCGATTTAACTTCTGATTTAGTTCTAAGAGGAAAGAGCCAAGTACATCGACTATAGTCATCCAAAAATTGTACATAATATCGAAAAACTTCTGATGAAGGTAATGGGGTAGGACCCCAAATATCACTATGTATAAGTTCTAAGGGTGCAGTAGCTTGAGATATGGATGGAGGAAAACTAGTGAGATGTAATTTGTCAAGTTGGCATGCATCACAAAATGCAAGTGAATGAGTGGATGATGACTTGCTCTTAGAGATAGTATTCTTAGACAAACCAGCAACAATTTTTTGTAAAATGAGAGAATGAGGATGTCCTAAGCGTTTATGCCATATCATGTGATCAACATCAATTGTATCAGCATTAAAACAAAAAAATATCAGAATTTGTATCAGACAAAAACTGATCAGAGGAACAAGTTTTATTATTATTGATAGAAAGATCTTTACACTTAGTAGCATTGTCAACCATAAACTGTGCAGAGTTACAACTCATGCTTTTATTTTTCAGAGTACTAGCAGTTGACATATTACGATGAGAACTAGACATATTTCCATAAGAAGTAGAATTATTATTACAGATACGAGACATAGGTAGACAGGGTTTAGACACACCAGAATGACTGGAAGAAGATGACGATGAATGAGCAGAGTTGGAGTGTGGAATATTCAACTGATAAAGGCCTCCTCCCCTTGCAGTAATGTTGCTCTGGTCAACCTGTCCTTAACAAGGCAACAATCAGCATTGAACTCAACAATAACATCATTATCAGTAGTAAATTTAAAGATGCTCAAAATATTTTTGGTAATTGTAGGTACACACAAGATATTTTTGCGATAAGGGCTCTTGTATTGAAAAAGACTAGGTAAAGAGGTATGGCCATTGTGTACAATAGGAAGAGATGCACCATTACCTACTTGAAGTTGACTAACACCATCATAATTCTTACTAATACTCATGTGATTCAGGTCTGCTGTAACGTGATCAGTGGCTCCTGAATCCATGTACCACACAGGATCTAAAGGAGTAAAGAAAGTAGCAAGGGCAGTGTGTACTGGTGATGACTGAGGTTGTGAGCCTAAACTAGGATGTCCACTGTTGTTTTGATGAGTAGCAGCAAGAAAAGCCTGACTGGATCCTAACAGTGGTGTACCAGAAACACCATGAGGAGTTGAAGTTGGTGAGAAACTCTTGGGTGAAGATTGTAAAAGGCTATATTTTGTGAGTTGTTGGTGAAGTTAGAAGAAAAAGAACTAGGCAAAGGATGCTGATATGAGGTAAGTGGCTGCTATTGTGGTCTAAAAATATCAAAATTCTGGTTAGCAGTAGCATAAGTATTAGGCAAAGGCTGTTGAGAAGATAGCATTTGGAAAGGAAGGCTATACCTGTTGGTGGTATAAGCAGTAAAGGGATGTTGAGCAATAGGAATTGGTGAATGTTGGATAGTATGAGAGTGTGAGGCAGTAGGAAATTGAGGATGTTGAGCAGTGGGTACTTATGGATGTGAACCATAAACATTCACAAGCTGTTGTTGATTATAGGCTTGCTGCATTTGTGAGCCAAACTTCCATTATAAGCTGAGTTAAACTGGTGGTAACATTGAATCGCAGTGTGCCTTGCCTTGTTACATACTTGGCAAATTAATCTGTTTTTACTAAAATTTCTTCCTCTACCTCTTCCATACTGTTGGTAGCCAAGAGGCCTAGGAGTAAATGGTTGCTGTGATAAACTGGAATTATAGTTTTCAGGCACTAGAATCACTTATTGTTGCTGATAATGAGGATTATCCAATGAATTCAGTAAAGGAATTACAGCCGTGGGAGCAATAGGGGAGGTTTTAATAGCAGAGGAAGAATTTGTAATATCACTCAACACTCCAGAGTTATTAACAGAGGCAATATTGGCAAAGCTATTGTACAGATCAGTAGAGTTAAATTTCTCCAATCTGATTTCATATTTCTGCAATAAAAATTGAGCTTCTTGCAGTGTAACTGTGTCAACCTTTGATTCAAGCCTAGAAGTCAAATTCACCACTACAGCATCATATTCAGGCCCTAGAACTTCTAAAATATGTTGTAGTAAATCTTCATTAGAGATAATCAGTCCACTAGCTGACAGACTCTCAGCTATTTCTTTCATCTTCTTTATATAATCACCAATACTCAAATTGCATTTGTGAGTAGTCTGTAACAAGTTCTTAAGGTGTAACGCTCTTGCTTTCGAATCACTGGCAAACTCACATGCAAGAGCAAACCAGATATCTGTAGAACAAAAACATTTTGACACAACTCCAAACATGCTTTCAGATATAGACGCCAATAACCAACTGACAAGAAATTTGTCAGTACGCTTCCACATCACATAATCAGGATTCAACCTATCTTCTATAGAGTTGGTGCTAGACTTAGGAATTCCTCTAATTTGACCTAAATCCTTATCAATTTCAAAATTAGATACCAAGAAAGGAGAAGGACACGAAATTTTACCAAGTATGTGATCCTCAAGCTCATGCAAACCCACAGTAGACAGAACCTGGGAACTCCAGAATCGATAGTTATTGCGTGTGAGCTTCGGGTTGATAACTTGTAAACTTGATGCTTGAGCTGAGGTAGGACGAATCACTGATTCATTAAGAATTTGTGAGGTGGAGCGATTGACAGACTCTCTCAACAATTCCTTAAAGCTGTTAAGCAACAAGGAAGTACAGGACTCTTCACCAGAATCTTTCGCCATAGACGCTAGTCAATGCTCTGATACCATGTGAACATGCAAGAAACAAGCGAAAAACAGTTGAAGAGAAGAAGAATCGGGAAAAATTCTTATTAACATATCTGATAAAACCTTACAAAGAGTAAAGCTTTTTTTGTACGATTTAGGAAGAAGACTAAAACTCCAAAACGGTGGAGTTTTGACTAACATACACTTAACTAAAAATAAGACCAAAACGGTGGAGTTTTGGTTATCAAACAATTGACTAAGTCAAGTCAATTATAGGTTTAGCCTTTAGCCTTCTTGACTCACATTCCCCCTCAAACCAAGCTCCATGAGTTTTCTGAATAAT